GGTACTTTTGAATAAGTCACTTTATATCGAAAGTGGAATGTAAATTGTTCAATAAAATAAAATGAATAATATTATAGTAGTACTTTATTTTCGAATGACTTGAATCATAATTATTATATTCAAATTTGAATGTAATAAGTATTTATGAATTTCTTTCATTGTGTATGGTGCTATGGTATATAACACACACGGACAAAGGATGTATATGGTGCTATATTATATAATACATACAGACGAAAGAGGTATATGGTAAGAGGATATTGAGCTGATGAACGTTAGGACCGCATCTGTAATGGGCAGTTAATGGGCCTCCCTCCACAACTTTCTGATTTAATAACAGATTTTGGAAAGAATATTAATTACCTCCGAGGCAAACAAGATTCCTCTAACTTTCTCAATTTATTTCCGTTTAGCTGGTCTGCCTCTTCCTTTTTTTTTTTTTTAATGCTAAAGTTTCCTTATATTTAAAAATGAAACTTCGTCTTTTATTCATGAAATGTTACCATATTGATCGACTGTTATATCGGTTCAACCGAATTCTTTAGTTGTTAAAGTATTTTATCTTATGATGAAACAAAATTGTCAGGACTTGCAGTTAAGAATTTTTATTAGGTGAGTGAGCCGACGTTTCGACCCAAACATTTGTTTGCTTCATCCTAATGATTGATCATTCGAGTAATTATCCATCTCTAAAATTTGAAAGATTGGAGGTTCTTGTCTCGACATTCAAAAGATAGCCCTGAAGATGACCCGCATGTTCGCGTCGAAACGTCATCCAACCTAATAAAAACTCTTGACTGTAAATCCTGACAATCTTCTTTCAATCTCATGATTGATCAGTCGAGTAATTACCTATCTCTAATATTTTATCTTATTTTTTAATCACTTTTAATTTATCCCCCTCCTTATCGCGATTCTTCCGAGTGTATTTCTTTATAGATTATTTTTATTAGTATTACATTTCTTTATTTATTGCCATATATGTATTCAATACCATGTTCCAGGCAAATTTAAAATTAAGGCTTGAATCGAGACAAAGAAGAAATTTATGGAATGATAACCGTCTCGTAGTCATTTTATATACTTCAACCATTGGGTGAAGTACATAAAATGAATTTTAGGTGAATGAAATTATGATTTATTTTTTTTTATAATTACTCGATAAGTCCGGATAGAAAAAAAATGTCTTGGGACACTACTCCAAGCCAGCCGTATAAACTGAACAAGATGAAAAGCAGTAGTTTAAAAATACGGTAGTGTGTAGATTCCACTATGATAGATGGCACAAGATTTCATGTTCACGCCATAAATGGATCTCAGTTTTTTACATATTTGGTAAAAACGAGCGTTCTTTGGCCATGGTTATCGTCCATTAACCAAATTATTAAGTTTAGGTATTCATTCGACTCACAATTTAACGTTACTATTTCTTAAATAGTGGGTTTTTCGCTTTGATGTACCGTTTAGTGATAATTCTAAGACAATCACAAAAAAAAAAGATAAAAAATAGAATCCAACTTTTTTGGCTGTAAATTTTTTTCTCTTGGTGGCCCGCGTTAACAATTTTGTTTTTTACACGTTTAAACCCATATATATATTCATGTTACAAAAAAAAAAAAAAAAAAATCCCTTATTTTTCGCAATGCATTTTCCGTTTCGATCCTCAAGTTACTGACCTATTATTCAGCCGTCATTTTTCAGGTAGCATGATCCGAATGCTAGGCTGTCATTTTTTTAATATAAAGTTATGAATTTTCACAAAAATTCTCTCAAATTTTTCATCAGATAATGTCAATTTTTTTTCACGGGCTTTCGGACTATCCCTTTTAAGCGAGCTGTTGTCAAAAGCAGCGATGTAATCAAAGCTAACAAACGTCCCGCCCCGATTTTAACCGAAAAGGACCTGTAGAGGTTTTAACGAAGTTGTAAAACGCTATCTAAATAAAGGTAGGTTATACTCCGAACACGTTGTCAATCCTCAAAATACCATTTACAGCGTGATCATGAGATCTTGGACCACTAGTCGAAGTCGACGCTTGTGTAATGGTGCAAAAGCTACATTATGCAATTGCCTAAGTTTTGGTTAATTCTCTTTCCATCGACCAATTTTTTTAACTTATTTCTATCCCCCGGAGGTAAAGGGCATCATATCCATTTTTTTATTAGATAATGTCTAACTAATTAACAAATTTTAGTAGCTCAAAGTAATGCGTATTAGGCTCTTTGAACAAACATAAAAATGTGACAAGGTTTACTTTACCTTCGGAATACAGATTTATAATAGCTCAACAGATATAAATTATATTAGCTCAAATTTATTTTTTTTTACTTCACACCAATATCAGAAACTATTTCTTTGAATCTTTCGTGATGTGATACCAAGTCACGATACGAAGGCCTACGTCATTTTCAAATCAGTAACTATACTCTAAGCCATTGATTATAAATTAGAAAGCTTTAGATTAATGCGAGCTGATCAAATGTGTATTATATTAAACAAGAGAAGTATTATTGATTGCGTTAGTTGTATATTGTAGTTATCTACTTCATCTACATTAATTATAAAATGGCGTAAGGCATTCATTAAAAATTTCACTAACACGATTTTAACCATTACCCAAACTATGGTGAGTGGTGAGCGTGCAGTTGACTTAGCTCACGAGTAATAATAATAATAAGTATATTTAAATTAATTTACAATTTGCAAAATGTACATTAAAATCGGTCTTTCTTTGGTATAACATTTAACACTAAGGGTATTTTAAAATTTATAAGCTTAATAACATTCTTTGTTATTTAACAGTAAGAAAAATTATAAAAAAAGCATAATACTAATAATAATGTAAATAAAATCAGAATATAAATATAGTCAACAATAACAATAAAAGAAAAACTATATACATTTAAATAAAGAATATAGAATATGCTGCTGGTGGCTCACGTGTTTTTTCTATGCTTTCGTTGCACTTCGGGCACAAATGAAAGGTTCCTAAGTTACCTGAGGAGCCTTATAACCTAGTGTTGCTTTAGAACTTGACAGATATTCACTTTTCGACTGGATTATTTCTTCTTTTTATTTTTAAATTTTATTATAGTAACATAAGGATGTTAAACATCTTGTATTTGTAAATCGTCTACTCGTGGTTAACGAAGAACTTACTATTACTTCAAAAAGTCTCTTTATATTTTATTATCCTTTTATTCAAGGTGCTGTTGAAAATCGAGAATGAAGATATTACGGATTGCACTTGGGCGAAACATTGAACAGCCGTAGACCACAAAAAATTCGTGGTTGGATGGGCACATCTAGAGCAGGTCTTGTTGGCAAGCGATGGGCCGTAACCCGCAAGGAAAGAAACATGTCCCAGACCATTGGTAACTAGGGGAAAAACTAGTGGGCTGCGATGAATGGGTGACCTGAGAGGGTCGAAAGGACATTGTAAATCCCGACTGCTTGTTCCACTGGGTAAATACATAGGCGCTTGGTCAATTGGTTGAAATTGGAAACTCGAATAGGGTCTGGTGTGTTCTATCCAACTACTCGAATTAGGTCCCGCCATCCAGTGCGGCTAAATGCTCGATTCAATGGAGATAGCCTTTACATCCAAATATTAATAATAATGCTTAGCTAACCCGAAGGTTTGATTCCGATAACACGAATCACTAAAGCACCATATATCTCCTAAAGCAGTTTCCATCCGAAGACTCGAACGGAGGACTAGTTTACTGCCGGATAATGAGAGTTTTATTTTAAGAAGATCCATGACGGTTAAGTAATTTGTGAACTAAAGATATATGAGTAGGGGTGTTGAATCCTACAGCACACCCTTTAGTAAGTCTGTAGAACCAGTCAGTTGATCAGCGAGTCCATCGGACTCAGCCGGGAAGAACTTCCTAGGGGTTTTCAACTGATCATCCCCCCATTTGCACCCCTGGGATGCTACCCCATGCGGTAATGAGATTCGCACGAAGATATCCAAATATTAATCTGTATTAATGGCAATGGGGCCAGTATTATTTGTAATTACTCGTGTTGAATCGATTGATGAAATAAGTTTGGTTTTTTGAGTAGCGCGAAAGAAGCAATTTTTTTCTTTCTTCAAAAAGCCTAGATATTATATGATTTCGTGTCGAAGATTGTTCGAATATGATTACAATGTTTTCTTCCCAACTTCAAATATTTTTTTAAAAATCATTTTGTTCCCACATAATTTTGAATTGTTGAATTTATAAAAAAAATCCGACCTGAAAGATGTAAATCTAGAATTAAATTACTTTGATACTAATTTAAAAAAAAATTGTTGTTTAAAAAAAAATCTTCTGGGTATAGTACGTATGTTGTTCTTTTGTCATTCAAGAAAAAGTCATGTTGTCCAAAATTGTAAGAAAATCACTGTCCATCTTTCTAATTAGCGAGCCATGTATTTTAAGTTGGTAAACATCACTAAATCATTAAATGGCTTATTCGACTGTACAACACGAGGTATCCCTTACTGTGTGTGAAATTCCAACACATCATTAAGAACCTTCTTGAAAGAGGGTGTTATTTATTTTCATTATAATCTTAATGGCAAATCTCGTGACTTTTTGATTGGTTGGATATATTTTGCAATATTGGGGGAAATTCTTTAAATTAAAAAAAGTAGAATAAATAAAGGAGTATATAATTATAGTTTTAATCTTATCTAGGACAATTATAGTCGGTGTCCGGCAACGGATATGTTGGAATATACTCTGTGTACCGGATCCATCGAAGGTTATCATTAATAGAGTGTTGGAGTTGAGCAAACTATACAGATTATTAAGCGTGATATTAAGACTAATATTGCAGTATGCATTACTTATAGAGACTATAGTTGCTTTAACGGATGACGAAATAACACTTTTTGCCTTTATGAAATCATGACGGGAATAGTTCGCAGATTACTTTCATATCAATTAATGGGCGTTGAATCAGTGAAAAATCAGTGAAGTGTAGAAGATAAGAACCCCGTGGTTGCTTACTTTACCCATTTGTTGCCCCCTAAATACCGGTTCCCGTGGGGCCTCCTCTTACCTGGACCAGGTAGCAGGACTAGTCTTGCAACTCTACCTGCCTCTTCTTCTCTTTGTGGCTCTGCATCTGTCCTCGCTCCAGCCAGTGGTCTCTCCCTGAAAAATACGGGTTTACTAACTTTAAAATGAAAAAAGAAATATATATATATTTACAACTGTATTAACTAAAAATGCAACAAGTTGATGTGAATTGGTAGTATGACATGTACGGACTTGAAGAGAAACTACCCATTGGTGGATCTTCTTTCAGATGCCTAGGATTCGATTGTTAGGGATCGAAGTGGATGTAAGGCTAAAGACAAGTGGGTTTGGATTGGTCTGAAGTTGATTATGGAAGGACATATTTCTGGATTGAACTTAGTCGGTAAAATATGGAACATTAAGGTTGTTATGGATGATTTTATTTATGTCTATGACGGTACAATTAAGGATTTTGCGAAAGATTGTGCATTGTAAGGATTGAATATAGAACGAATTTGATCGTTTATTAGAGTCCCAATCTCAATTTCACAAGTCCAAATAGGCCTTGTTATAGTGAAGTAAATGAGTCTTTCATATTTTATTCGAAGTTCAGAACCTTGTATGTGTAGAAATAGCCGGAAATATCTAGCAGTTTTTATCGTTTCAGTCTTGTATGAGGATTAATACGATAAAGTAAGACTTTTGTTCAGATGGAGTAAATTATGAAATGATATTGCAGGACTGAAAGTCAAAGGTTTGCGAGGAAGGAATACGGTGATTTGATGGAATTTATTATTATTATGGAATTTATTAAGCGTTTATTTCTAAAATTATAATAAAATAATAACAAAAGGCTTAGAAAACTGAACGTTCGATGTCGACACCATCATTCCTTGTCTACACACCTCCCTCCACCGGACACCGTCCAAACCCAACTCAATCAGATCAATCTTAATGAAATCTTCCCACCTTCGCTTCGTTCTACACTTCAGAGTTTAACAGTCGGCACAGCGCTTATTAACCTTTTAGGAATTATTTCGTTACTGAGCCCGACACTTGAACTTACCTCATTAGAGTGCACAGTTTAACAAAAAAAAAAATTACGCAACAGCATTGTATAACCGTTTAAAATAAATTCTTCTTCGGTCCGGATATTCTACACATATTTTATTTTCAAAAACCTTAAGACGTTGTTCATCTCTTAATGTAAGCAGCCTTGTTTCCCAGCCATAAATTATAGGAGACTAAAAATACTAATGTATATCTATTTATAAGCCTCCAGTCTCCTATCCAATAACTAAGAGAAACCAGTCAATATTTTGCCAATTCAGACGAAAAATGTATGATCACTTAATGGTGACTAGAGAAAACTCATCTCACTTCAACAAGACCAACCAATCAAAGACAATTGAACATGTAAATACTATCAGTAATTATGGACTATTATGGCGAAATTTCTGAACGTTTCCCAGATCCTAATAGTTAATAATGGTTCAAGTTATAATTAAATTATGATAATTATCATCATGTTTCCTTAATAATCCGACAATTGACATATTTCTTTATATAATATTAAAATTTTCTCCAAAAATGTTCTCTGTTTTAATCTTTCGTCAGGAAATAATGGCCTTGCCTGGTTCCATTAGTCTGTGTCTGCTGTTGTCCTTATTGCACAACGGGTCGCCAAAGAAAGTGAAATTTCTACGAGATTAATGGTCAGTCTGGGAACGAGTAGATTTTTCTCTCTGTATCTTTTATTTTTCAGTTTTTCAATAATTAATTTCCTATCGTTAGGTTTCCTAATAAAGTTATGAATAACTTAAAATCGTCCAATTTCTATCTGTAATAATACATATTTTCAGTCCCTTATTATTTGGAAATAATAGATACAATTTAGAACATAATCACGTATCTAAACATCCTATTTGAACATGATTTATTCGTATGACTTATTTCCTAAGAACAACGTTTTTTTTTAAATATTCTCAACTGCAGAATTAGATATTAATTAATTAAAGATGGTACGACAAAGATTACATGACATGAAATTTTAAACATTAGTAAGATGTAGAAATTTAATAGAGAATATATGTAATTAACAGGTGCGGATTAAAAAATGAAAATGGAAAAATAATTCAAACAATCGGTGAATTTCTCATCGTAATTGTGAAGTAAAGGAGTCATTCGCGTTATGGGAATTCATGTTATTTGAAGATTAGTTGATTGACAAAAACTGTCCTGGCATTAGTTTCGACTAATATATAACAACTGATTATTAATATGATTTTTTTTTCAATTGTTGCAATAATCTTTTATTAATATTCTTCTGAAATAAAAAAAAAAAAAACTTTCAGAAATAAGAAAAATTGATGCTGTCGGTGATTTTCTACAAGGTTCCTTAACTCCACCTAAGACGCTCTTCTCCCCCAAGAAATTTTATTGTTCTCGTTTTATTAAAATCTGTAAAACACAAGCATAGGAATTGTTGGAATTGTATTCAAGTGTTTAGTTCCCACCAAAAATGCATAAATGTAAATATGAACCCACCCCACACTCAAGAATTCATGTAAAAATGTGCCTTTCTCAAAAAGCAACTTCTGGTCAGGCACCCCCAATTTTTTTATAGTAATTGTGAAGTATACATTAGCGAGTCGTTCACTCTTGACTATTATTGTTGAATAGTTGACATTAAAAAAAATAGTTGAACAACGGTAAACAATTTTCAATCAGTTCGTCAAGTTTAATCAATATATCAGTTCGCCTTTCGGTATCTTATAGAAATAATTAATATTCCAAAAATATATTTAATTATTTTTATCATTTTTTTATTGCTATCATAACATTATATTTCTCTCTTTTTTTTCTTTTCTAATTTGCTCCTATGCGGTAACCATTTTACTTAAGTATAAAATGTTTGTATTTGTACGTTGTCAAATGTACACTTCACTATAAAAAATACCTTTCTTCTAATTGGTGTACTTACGAAATTGTTGACGATTAAAATTATAACAACCGTACCCCCAGTCCTCTATCAATTTTTTTTTGCAGTTGAAGACGATGCTTTTGAATAAACGTATCTTTTGTAAATATTCAGCTCCAATTAGATCCAGCCGATATTAGTCTATATCCATCAGTCCAACATTCCAATAACATCGCTTGGTTGTTCTTTGTGAGTGATTGGTGGCTCGCTCTGTATTCAATTTCCCCTTGATATGACTTCCAGTTAGCCCAGCCTGTCGAAAACAGAGAGGGGAATTGAAATAATTTATTAATCCCTCGTTGAGGATTTTATTTCTCATGCTCGTATATCATTGTCTCATTAGCCCCGTATCATTTTCCACAAATCGGCATCTCGTTCAGCTTGACATATTGCATTCCGCCACGTTTGACATCTTATTACAAGCATTTAAATTCCATTTTACCAATAATCTATTTTCTCAGTTAGTGATAAATAAACGAATAATTAAGTTTTACAAATATATATATATATATATATATATATATATATATATATATATATATATATATATATATATATATATTTGTAATATATATATATATATATATATATAATGAAAAATTAATTTTTTTTTCAGTTAATTCTTATTGGTTGGCCTGAAGAAGGTTCAGATTTTTTTTTTAAGTTCAAGCATGTTTAACATATTCCAAGGGTCTGTTGTATGTTTTTTTTCGTTTGTTTTTTTCTCGTCGACTCCTACACCGACGAGTACCAGTTTCAGGTACCACTTTTTGTGAACATGTAGTGGGCCCCCCCAGTTCAAAGTTACTTAGGGAAAGATAAACTAAGCGCTGTATTTAAGGATAGTAATTAAATTATCGCTCACTTCATATGGTTAAGAAGTAGTAAAACTTATGGAAAGTGAATCTTAATTTTATACGAAGAACTCCTTCTTCTCCAGGAGAGTTATACTGGACTGTAATTCATAATATACAAGAGATAAATATTATTTATATTTAATAAAGTGATTAAAATTAGGATTTTTCTATAAATATTGAAAAGAATTTTCAAGTTCATGATAATAGGCATCTTTCTTTTAAAGATAATTTAGAAACATAAATGTTCGATAGAATTTTCTTAATATTCATTACTGAGTAGTCATGTTCATATTTTATTAGTAATACATCTCTAGGTATATATCTGGGATCAATCAATAGCAATAAAGAACTGCTTACAGAAACTGGTCAATTAAGACCAAATGATATGAAGTCAAGGAGGTTAAGATGGGTGGGGCATGTATCTCGGAGCAATACATTAGGAAACCTCTACGCAGCAACGAATTCTTTAATATTAGGAAAGAGATGACATATAAGGCCAAAACTAGATGAATAGATCGAATAAAATAAGATGCAATAAAGTTGCTTGCAGATAACTGGAGAGAAATAGACCAAAATAAATTGTGATGGAAAGGACTGATCAAGGAGGCAAAGGATCTACAAGTTATGCAATGCCAACACAATATATATATATATATATATATATATATATATATATATATATATATATATATAAAGAGACTTTACATATCTGAAAGATAATTCCAAATATATAAAATATTTACCGATTTATGGTTTTTAAATATTAGAAAATTTCATTGCTCTCTGATTTAAAATAATCCTTGATGAGGAAAAGAGAGGAGGAGGCGTAAAAAAAAGCTCCCAAATTTATAATTTATTTATTTATTTTTATTTTCTCTTTTTCGATCTAATGTAATATTCTCGTGTATCATAAGATGTGTTGTTAGGTAGGATTCTTGTGAAGGTAGGAATTATAATTAAAATATTGTCTCTTTAAATCTACGCGATCTTATTCAGTCTTTTTAAAAAATAAGCTATGCATTCACGAATTTATATATTCATAAAGAATCTATACCTATATAGATAATACCGTTGTTCTTCTGATGCTTAATCTTGAACCGCTAACACGTTAAATGAATGCTACTATTGCCAATAGTAGTTTTTGTTTCTCTTTTATTTTATATATCTATGATAAATTGTACTTGATTTTGATTTGTAATTATGTTGCACATAATATGATTAGCAGTTTTTTTTTTAATATCATAAATTATTTAACATAGGTCTGAATGTGTTTTATTTATTTTATCATCGTTCGGCTTTAATCTGTTATTTTACTTATCTTGTTTATTACTTTATCTTTTTATATATATATTTTTTTTTCCGTACTTGGTTATTTTTATTTCTTATGTACATATCGTGTGAATGAATACTATAGCCCTAGTACCAATGCACTTCAGTGTTGCTGACTGTATTAATACTCAATAAAAAAAAAATGTATATATATATATCATAATTAAGATACCCTTCATAGTATTAGCTTCATTTATGTAAAATTTTAATTCGTTAATGAAATTGTCAATATAATTTTTATTAATTTTATCAGATGTAGTTGATTGCGTCAAGTATCTCTAGATTTTGCGTTATGTGTGGTCAATTTTTCTTCTTTATTCATCTGACTGAATTTCTACTAGCCGACGTGATGAATGCCTTGCTGGAGCTGAAAGGTTGTAAAGAAAGATAAAAGAAGTGTTAAGCTGCCATGACAAAAAAATACGAAAATAAGTAAAAAGGAAAAAAAAAAAGAATGAAGGAAACAGATATTTTTTTATCTGGTGACATTTCTTATCCAGGACTGTAGAGGGCGGCCCGGTGGGATTTCCATGGAGAGATAAGGGCCGCTGTGAGATAGGATGTCGCTGGAATATGGCGAACCACTCCTGGAGGAGTCTCTTATCTGGCCGATGTGCTCTCAACTTTATGCCTGCGTTCCAGTCATCTGCTCCTTCTCTGTTCTTCCGACCGTCTTGTAACCACTGTTGAGCATGGGGTTCAACAACATTTCCCGTCAAATCAACATCATAAATTCAATTCGGAATCGTTGTTTGTGTTAAAATTTTGATGTATCAGACAATAGCGGATCCAGGATTTAATTTTTTTTTTATTACCGTAATTGCTCTGTAAGAAAAATAAAAAAGCTTGAAAAATGATGAAGTATATAAAATTGAAAGAAATCATATTTTCGCCTCGGAGGTTAAAAACAGTATGTGGAATTTTTAATAAAATAATTTAGTATTAACTATTTTCCTAATTAAACCTCTCTTTTCCTCATCAAGGGTTATTTTAAATCAGAGAGTAATGAAATTTTCTAATATTTAAACAACACAAATCGGTAAATATTTTATATATTTGGAATTATCTTTCAGATATGAAATGTCTCTTTAAAAAAAATAAATTACTGAATATGCCATATATCATATATATATATATATATACATATATATATATATGTATATATTTTCTGTTGGCATTGCATAACTTGTATATGCTTTGCCTCCTTGACCAGTCCTTTCCATCTCAATTTATTTGGGTCTATTTCTCTCCAGTTATCTGCAAGCAGCTCTATTGCATCTTTCTTCATAGTAATGAAACATATTTTAATAGCTTAAAGTTATACAAAATTGACTCTACAAAAAATGCGACATAGTGTCTTTTAACTCCGGAGCTACAGATTTAGTTACTATGAAACAAATTTTAACAGCTCATAATTAAGGAAAATTGGCTCCCATGAAGAAAAAAACAAATGGACATGGTGTTTTTTTACTTCCGGGGTACAGATATCAACTAAGGCTTGAGATGAAATTTTAACTTTTATTTTAAATCAGTTTCCGTATGTCTCGAATCTTTATTTACATTTTTTTCTGCCATTTAGAAACTAAATGGTTTTCTCTTTCAACTTTTCAAGTAAAGGATTAATTGGATTTGGATGCAAATTAAAGAAACAAATTTGGACGAATTAAAAAAGAAATATTTGTCTATTTTAGAGGAGCTTCTAGGTTTTCTTCACTGTGTACCTAGCGGTCAATGGATGGATGTGTGCATGGATAGCGGAGTATGGTATTCGGTTTCTATATGTCTTCTGTAATTATTATTGTTACAAAAAAAATTGTAAAACTACGTTATACCTAAAAGATTATGGTTGAATATTACTTTAGTTGCTGTTAAGTAGAAACAAAAAAATATATTATTCGTAGGATGGTAGAATCCAGTAGTTAGAGCACTCATGGTTTGTTTCAATTTCAATTCACAAGCATTCCGAAAGTAAAATTTAATTGTGCAAACAAATCAATCTTTCATTCTTCAATCCATAATCTTCACAATCCACTCGTTACTTCACGTTCCTCATGTCAGTTATCTGGTCGCAGAGGAATCCATAAGGCTGCATGTAGCATATCGTGCTCTTAAATTTTTTTGCGGAGGAGTGGCACATTTTTTTACGGGGTTTTGAATTTTCATGGGGGGGGGAGAATAATTTTTAAGACTAATTGTTAAGGGGTCATACATTTTTCTGTGAGGTAATTTTTTACAAAGCTATTGATTTTTTATCGTGTTTCGGATTGAAGATATTTTCAAACCAAGAGGAACAAGGGGAAAATATAGAACGAATCACAGATCTAAAATTTGTTGAGTTCTACTTCAACTCGCACTATTTTTAAGAAGGGCAGATCAATAAACTTCAGAAAGCAAGGCATAGTCAAAAAGTTGTATCGAAATTACAAATATTGCTAAATTTGTCAGTGCTGTACCAAAAATGAAAAGCCGAATCCTCGATGCACTATTTATATTTTTTAATCATCTAAATCCTTGAAATGCATCCAATTTTTTAAAACCTAAAATATCATATTTTCTGCTTGTGTCAATTTTTTGGACCTGCTCTTATTTTAAGCAAGCCTCAACTGATATCTTCATATTACGCAATCTTATCTACTAGTGTTTTTGTTTATTTTACATTTCCATCCAAAAGTCCGTAATCTTATCATACTCTCATATCGTACGTACACATATGACTTGTGTATTACAGCCTATAATTTGAAAAAAATAAATTATTTATGAGTTAATATTAATTCGAAAAATGCCATGAGAATTTTATGCGAAATTACACAGATTAAATTTTGTGAGAGCTGTAATGTTCTATTAATTTAATAAAAAATAGGAAATTATTACCCAACTAATAGAAAAAAAAGTATTGAAAGGAATTCTGTTATTTTTGGAGGATAAAATCTTTTACTCGAGTACCTATTGAATGTTCAGCATATCCATTCAGAAACATCCTAAATACATGGGGATGGAATATATATAATTAAAAGATACTGCTCTTTCAGATTAAGATCTATCCCTTATAACTCGAGGGTTCACCGGTTGTTGAGAAATCGACTGGACAAGATGATAGTAGCCGATAACCCAGTCGAGCTTCCACAGACGACCGGTCATCAAGATATCCGATAAGGATTCATGAGGAGGAAATTAGAATGGTTGATGCACACATCACTTCCTTCTTAACCACCATCTTTCAGTCTTAATTACTCTAATGGGATCTGTTAAAGTACGAATTTATAATCTGGTTTGTTTTAGTACTAATGCCAATGAGTGACGTTTTCTGCGAAGCATATTAGTATTAAAAAACTTTAAATATTTCCTGTCCCAAATATCCTGTACATATTAGTTGAAATTGATCTGATAAAAATATATCTTAAAATTATTAATGTTATAAATAATAATACAAATTACAACATTCGGTACTTTGGATGATTGTCCAGCAATCCTTTTTGTTTTTCTCTCTCATTAAATATCATCGATTAGGGCTGATCAGTATACCGAGTATTTTAGTTTTTCAGAACAGATTAAATTCATTAGAATCTATTTTAGAATTAAATTAATGGTAAAAACTATATTTTTTTTAAAAAAAAAATTCACTGGATTGATTTCAATTAGGATATTTTTTATCACTGATGATAATGGAAATATCACAATATAATTATAACATAACGAGATGTTATTGGCCAAATGGTCCAATATTTTTCTAGGCCACCTTTATTTTTTTTTATCACATAATCTTACAGTCCAAGTGGAAAGCAAATGGAGATATACGAGTTTTTATTACCAATTTAAATAAACAACGACGATATCCAGACAGAAAATGTCCCATTCCAAGAGTTTTCGTAAATAAAATATTTATAGTTTACTAGGTGACGAAGCTATTTACGAAGTTTCAGCCGGATGTTAATAATTTTATAAGAATTGGTCTATAACACGGACTATAAGTTAAACAAAATAACATGTATGATAAATTAGGAAAAATATATAAAAATGTGCCAATCTCTGTCCTAGAATCGTAGAGAACTCGTAATCGAAAAAATATGTTCCAAATGATGGTAGGAACATTTCCTGAAACAGAATCGAGTTATATTTCCTAACTACACCAGTATATAAATGTTATGATTTCTAGCACATAAAGTCAACGTAGTCAGACCGGGTTCTAACCCAGCGCTGCTTTTGACCAACCAATGTTGAGATATAATTACCATGGTATGAAATTTAATTTTTCACATTTTTATGATTATTGATAAGATATTTGATGGCATGCTAAACTTTATTTAATTTTTCGCACAAATTCTTCTATCTTATTCGAAGTAATGGAATTTTTAAAAGTATTTTTTGACTGTTTAAGATGGAAAAAAAATCCTTCTACAGATTAGATGAAGGGAGGAAATGTACGGGAAATTCTGAATTGGGGAAAACCTTATCTCTAAACCAATCAGCAAGCCTCAATTTCTACCTTGAATTAAATAAATGTTTTCCTACCCCAACCCTCTTTGCTTTCCTTAAACACAGAATTATATCTTGACAGCTTATCAGCGATACTGGTTTTTAAAGATTTCTAAACCTTTTAAGATATCGAGGAACAGAATATTAAATTAATCATTATGGTTAATGAAGTATATCAACTTTAATAATATTGAAGTATCAATGAGGATGTATTTATTATAAATTTTACGAATAAAATAATTATATTTGAATCAGGTAGACATGAATTTTAAAGTACGATAAGATGATGTTTTATTGAGATATGCGTAACCCTTGATTTTTAGTAACAGCGTATACATACTAAATAAGGAAACCTATTAGCTAGAAGTAAATAATAGGTATAAATAAGTATTAATTACATTATATTCCTTTCCGACAGATTTTTCTCCATCTGTCAGGTGTCAGAATTATCTTCCATCAGGTCTATTTCAGCAGGAGTACCCCAAGGTTCAATACTCGCTCCACTACTCTATCACATACACCTATCACGTACCTTGTAGTTTCAACATTTTAACAGCGACACAACACTGTTAACTAGACATAAAAATACAACATACGCCTACAACAGTATTTAACAAGATCATATGCCAGGTAACGTAACGTCTGTAGGAGGCCAAAGAGGAGCTGGATGAGGGACCTCCTCGATCTATCTAATTTAGGTATCCCACCAGGAGGAGATGCCGCAGGATACTGCCCCCCCCCCTCATGCCTTACATGCCAATATATTTTACAATCGACATCTCATTCACTGGTTGTCATTATCATTATGACAGGTCTGACTAAAAAAAATTAAGTTAAATAAAAAATTACAATAGAAAATAAACCGATAAGATAAATAAATGCTAAGTTAATTATCCTATTCAATATAATAGGACCAACTAAGTATTTTGGTTGGTTTTGTATGTTTAGGAAGTTATTATAAAAATAATAAATAAATAAAAAATTTGTTCTTGGGATGTACTTAATACTGTACTATAAGTCAAACGATAATTAATTGTTTAACTTTAATTTAAATTTTCAAAAATTTCTATAAATTATGCTGTATGGCAGTTGAATAGAAAAAAACAAACATATTTCATTTACGAACATTTATAAGTAATTGAATTTATATTTAAATGCTGAAATATGAATAGTTTAGTAGTATTTAACAGAATTGATGATTTACTTGCCTTGCGATGATTTTAATCCGTTACACTTAGTTTTAAATCATTTATTATATATTGTTATATAATTATGATTGTTATGATATATTATTATTATTATCATTTGATGTTTAATACAATACAGGATGATGACTACAGCCATGCTAATACCGAGGGCATTGAGATGCTCGCTGAGTTAAAATCAACTTCAATACTTAGCCTGGCTGTATTGTATAAACTAATAATTTAAACTTTTTTACTTATAAATTGTGAATTCGGTCTGAATATTCTATTTAGATGGTTTGGTAACCCACCTTCAGAAACTTAGCCATTCTCTCAGCCTGAGTTTGATAGCTACTTTCAGAAAGTTAGTTTCAAGTTTTCCTCAGGAAGAAAAAAAAAAAACTTCTTAGAAGTAAGTTTTAGAAACTTGGAATTACAACAATCTACACTAAGAATAATGCCATTGTAAATAGATTGAAACTTATCAAGATTTTAATTCAATTATCTTCCGTATTTTAACGAATCCCTTTCAATTACGCTATGTTACGAATCAAAGGAATTCTCATGAATATTTAAATTATTTTTTTCTATTGCGGCCTCTGATCTATTGCCGATCCGTACTTGAATATAATCAAACCCTGCATACTTGATTTAGTTTCACCCTCTGTTCTGTTCTCGAAGGGGGAATGAGTCTGTACGATATCTTATGCATGCCAGGTGGTTGCGGAATAATGGACGGGGTATGCATCCTCCACTTTCATCTACTGCCGTTCTCTCCCTTTTTAAGATGTACATCGGAGGATCCAGAATTTGAGGAATTGGTACTAATAATTCAGAATTGATTATTCGTTGGGTTTAAATTTAAATATTATGTTCTTAGAAATTATTTATTAATTTTCTACTTATATAGTACTATTTTCATAAATTCCTGTAAAAATCAATACAGCCTTATATTCCCATCACACCACGAGCGGATTTACGGGGAGGGGGGGCACTTCGAACCCTTTAGGATGTGTTCATCGAATTTTTGTGATAATTTTTTTAAAGTATTTATTTTTTAAAATTATGCTTCTTGACGAAGTTTTTATTTTTATAAAGGAAGGAGATGGTCCGGGGTTGCGGTCATAAAAAGGCTAAATAGTGGTAAAATTATTTTATTGAAAGCCAACTTTTTTTTTTTATCAAGAAACGGTTTCTGTGCCAATGAAGGAATTGTTATTTCTAAAATATTTATATGACAAAAAAGTGAGTTTTAGACAAACAGTTGTTCCTAAAATATTTATATACCAAATAAGTGAGTTTTGGTCACGTTTTCAAGTTTAAGCAAACTTTGAATTAAAATATGGCGTTATCAGTTTCAGAAAGGGTACGTTGATATTTTTATTTATATGCCAAAAGCTTTTTATATCTATTAAGGTTGTTAGGAAAATATGGATTACTCGAATCATTGATATTTTTATATCAGTATGTTTAACCGACATTCTAATGTAGTTATTGAAATATCGGTATTAAAATGATATTATTAAAAACCGATTGACCTGTTTTCATAAATACTTTATTTTACAGAACTTTTCTAAGGGCCTGGTTTTTCTTTGACCAGAATGCGTCATATATTTTAGTTTGAGATGTATTATTTCGGGTAAGTGATATACCGACGACAAACTCCATAGGCATACAGTATGTATCAGTTGGTCTCATCTATATTCAAGGCACAAGTCGGTTACTCCTGGAGAGAACATCCCCACTCCAAACTCCAGCGTCGCTTCCAGTCCAATATGGATTTATGTCGCTCCCTCTCCCTTTTGCGGAGTGGTCTTTATTAATAGTTCTCTTCTGTTTATATTAGAGATTATGTTTGCGATTCAGATATATTCCTCAATATTTTTCAGTTATTACGTTTTATTCAACGTAAAACATTGTTGGCTTAAAAATTACATAATTTAAGTTTTCTGGTTGTCAATGATCTTTTAGGATTATTAACAGAAACAATAATAGATTAAACGATCGAAACTGTGAAAAACTAATTTTTTTAAACTTTTATTATGATATTTACAACTGCATTAGTATGAATACATCAAGTAAATGTGCACAGAGGAATATTATCACATGAAACACGCTTGTTGAGAAACTACCCACTGGTAGCACTATAATAATTTGTCTACATGAAAAGATCACGAGGCCATCTTCTTTTCAGACGCCTCGGAGGGTTATCAGGAATCGAAGGGGAAGCAAGGTTAGAAACAAGAGGATTCGGATGGTTATGAAGTTTATTATGGAAGGATAGGTATCTGGATCTGGCCAAATCTGAAGCATATGGAACATTAAGGTGAAAAACTAATTAAACTTCAAAATGGTATCGTCTACTATGAACATCAATTTCGTGGTTTGGAGCAATTTTCGCTTATAGTAGAAATGCAATAAATATGATCTCATAAATAGTGTTGCCCAAATGCGAGAACGAGACGAGTCTTGGTCTTGCAA